AAAACCAGTCTGAGCAGAAAAGTCTGTAAGAGTCTTATCTCCAATTAACCCCCAAAAAGCTGGTAGTGCAGCTGTGGCTCAAGTGGTAAAGTGCTAGCCTTGAGCAGAAAAGGCTAAGGAAGAACGTCATCCTTGAGTTTTGAGGTATAACTCTAGCACTGCACTGCATATATCTGTGTGTGTGTGCATGTGTGTGCTCACACACATATACACACTAAATAAAATAAATAACAAATAAAATTTAAATCAAAACAGTGTGACCCAACTGAAAGAGCATAACCTAAGATTCATCTCAGAGGAAGGAAAAAGGTACCCTCTGTGAATGGAGAAAAATGGTCCAGATTCCTCCAAGAAATTATTCTACCCTTAACCCAATTTCCAGAAAAAAGGAATATATCTTGCATTTTCATTATTTTTTCCTTTTTTGCTGGTACCCGAGTTTGAATTCAGGGCCTCTTGTCCTGAATTCAAGGCCTGCTTGGCTGGCAATTTATCTTTGAGTGATGCTTCCAGCCTAGCCTTTTGCTGGCTAATTAAAGATAGGAGTTTCAGAGGCATTACTGCTGGGGTTAGCTTTGAATCCTGATCTTCCAGATCTCAGCCTCCTGAGTATCTAGGATTACAGGTGTGAACTGCCTGTAATCCACATTTTATATAAATAATTGTGCAATATGGGTTCTTCTATGGATAATCCTTTTACAATATACTTTTTCTAAGTAAAATGTTTTTAAGTTTAACTATATTAGAAAAATTAGCACTTTCTTCATTCTTTTTAACTAACAAATAACATTCTGCTATACAGGCCATGTTTTGTCTTGTTTGATTTTACCTCTTTTCTTGCCTATTATAAATAATACTGCTTTGGAGATAGACCCAAATACAATAGTAGCAGGGGACTTTAATACCCCACTCTCACCAAAGGACAGGTCAACCAACCAGAGGCTAAGCAAAGAAGCCTCTGAACTAAATGATACCATATCCCCTAGTTTTCCACCCAACAAAAACCCAATACATGTGCTTCTCTGCAACCCATGGGACTTTCTCCAAAATAGAGCATATCATAGTTCACACAAAGAATCTAAACAAATACAAGAGGACTGACATGATCCCTTATGTTCTATCTGACCATAGTAAAATCAAACTAGTTTTCAACACAAAGCATTCTGCAGAAATTACTCAAATACATGGAGGGTGAGCAGCACATTACTGAATAACACCTGGGTCAATGAACAAATTAAAGAAGAAAATAGTAAGTTCCTACAATTCAAGGAAAATGAAAATACATCACAACAGAACCTCTGGGACACAGCAAAAGCAGTCTTAAGAGCAAGTTCATTGCTCTGAGTGTATACATCAAGAAAATAGAAGCAGCTCAAGTACATAATCTCATGATGCAACTAAAACTGTTAGAAAAGCAAGAAAAAAATTGAACCTAAAGTTACTAGATGGAGTGACATAACAAAGGGCAGAAATTAACAAGATAGAGATTAAAAACTATAAAATTAATGAAACAAAAATCTGGTTTTTTGAAAAAAAATCAATGAAATTGAGAGACCCTTGCAAGATTAACCAAAAAAAGAAGAGAGGAGACCCAAATCAATAAGAACAGGGATGCCACAGGAAAAATGACAACAAACACCCAAGACATCAAATGATCATAAAGAACTATTTCCAGAATCTATACTCACTAAAGAAGGAAAACCTAGCAGAAATGGACAAATTTCTAGAGAAATACAAATTGCCCAAACTGAACCAAGAAGCAATAAATCAACTAAATAAGACAATAACTTACACTGAGATAAAGAAAGCAATTAAAAGTCTTCCAATAAGGAAAATCCCAGGTCTGGACAGAATTCACCATGAAATTCTACAAGACTTTTAAAGAGGAACTAATACCCATACTCCTCAAGCTCTTCCATGAAATAGCAGAGGGAGCAATCCCAAATTCATTCTATGAAGCCAATATCACACCCAGAAGAGGTACAAATGGCAAAGAAACCCATGAGGAAATGTTCATCATCCTTGGCCTTAAAGGGAATGCAAATAAAAACAACTCCTTACCTCAGAATGGCCTATATCCTAAATTCAAATGACAAATGCTGGTTGCAATGCAAAGAAAGAGGAACCCTACTGCACTGCTGGTAGGAATGTACACTAATACAACCACTCTGGAAAGCAGTCTGGAAGGTCCTCAGAAAATTAAACATAGACCTTCTATACAATCCAGCCATACCATTCCTAGGCATCTACCCTGAGCAACAGGAACCAAGATACAAGGACACATGCACCTCCATATTCATTGATGCACTGTTCACAATAGCCAAGATATGGAAACAACCCATATGGCCCACTACAGATGAATGGCTCCATAAATTGTGGTATCTATATACAGTGAAATATAACACAGCTATTAGAAAGAACAAAATAATGGAATGGCATTCGCAGGGAAATGGATGGAACTAGAAATCATGTTGAGCAAGGTAAGCTAAGATCAGAAAGACAAATGGTACATGGTCTCCCTGATACACAGATGTTAAGACAAAGTAAACAGGACTCAAGAAACAACGGACTTCTTAATCTGTCATATTGTTTTTAGAATACTCTATGTTGTTGACCTCACACATGGTATATACATGTGCACATATGAGGGAAGCTAGGAGGAGGGAGCAGAATCAGAGCAGAATCAGAGGGAAACAGGTGAAAAAATACAGCAGAGGGGTCCATCAGCTGCACTGGAATTGATTAAAGTGAACTAAGCAACTCAAGGGCATTGATGGGAGGGTGGGAATGAGAGAGAAAAAGGGAACAGCGAAAGGAAAGAAATGTATGTATCATCCAATTTGGAAGAAATTGTTGTATTGTCAAAGTCTGTAGCATTAACAAGCTTTATAGACCTTCATAATGACAATTCACCTTGTGAAGGTTAAAATGTGTTTGTGACTTTAGCTAAGTATCAACTATCCCACAATAATTGTAAAACTTATATAATCACTTAATCTCAATAAAGAAATTTTTAAAAAATAAGATGTGATGAGAATTGTTTCAAATAAAAATTTTATGTAGTTTCACAAATAAGTGTGATGTTTATTACAGTTTTTGGTAGTTATACTTACTACTGTTGCATAGAATTGATACTGTATATTTGTGTATACGAGTATAATGTATACTGTTGTAGTCACATGCTAAAATGACTACTGTTTTACTTTTTTTTTTTTTGTCAGTCATGGGGCTTGAACTCTGGGCCTGGGTGCTGTCCCTCAGCTCTTCAGCTCAAGGCGAGCACTCTACCACTTGAACCACAGCGCCACTTCTGGTTTTCTAGTGGTTTATTGGAGATAAGAGTCTCACGTGTTTCCTGCTCGGGCTGGCTTTGAACCGCAATCCTCAGATCTCAGTCTCCTGAGTAGCTAGGATTACAGGCATGAGCCATGGGCGCCCAGCCTGTTTTACTTTTTTATCTGTTACTGTGGTAAAATAACATCTGTGTTAGAAAAAAAAAAAAAAAAAAAAGAATGGAGCAAAGATGGGCTGGGAAGTTCGCTCAGTAGTAGAGTGCTTGCCTTGCATGCATGAGGCTCTGGGTTCGAGTCCTCAGCACTATATAAGCAGAAAAATGCCGGAAGTGGCGCTGTGGCTCAAGTGTGGTAGGGCGCTAGCCTTGAGCTTAAGAGCTGAGGGACAGCACCCAGGCCCTGGGTTCAGCCTCCATGACCCAGAAAAAAAAAAAAATGGCGCAAGGAAACCTGTTGGGGCTGAATTTTTGCTGGGTGGAAGGCATGAGTGATAGAGGGGTGTAACTGATTGTAATACAGTGTAAACTTGTATATAGATGTAACAAACTTCCCATATAATTAATATAAGCTAATAAAAGTACTAAATAATAATAATAATAATACTGCCCTGGGCTGGGAAAGTGGCCTAGTGGTACAGTGCTTTGCCTAGCATGCATGAAGCCCTGGGTTCAATTCCTTAGTACCACATCAACAGAAAAAGCCAGAAGTGAGCTCTCAGATTGCCAGGAACCGCTGACTGCGCCGGCGCTGGTACCTGGGTCCTGTGGATCAGATCTGTTTCCAGAGGCCTTGATGCAAGCTGGAGCACTAACCTGGCCTCTTCCCAGATGGAAGGAGAGACGCCCCCCTGGGCTGACTTGTCAGGTTCCTGGACTGAGTGATAACTGATAGTGCAGGAGAGTCCTTGTCCCCAGGCTCTGGGTAATGAATTTCTGATTTTATCACCCACTGCTTAATTTCCCTGTGGTTGAACTTCATGTATATGAAATCCTACCATATGTATGTATACTTTCATACCTAGCTTATTTCACTCAATGGAATTATTATTATTTAGAGGAGGGGGAGGTTGAGTCAAGTCTCATTATGTAGCCCAGGCCAGCCTTGAACTTGCCTCAGCCACTTGAGTACTGGAATTATAGAACACAAAGCTTAGAGATTTATGTGTATTGTGTGTGCATATGAATTGCTCCTTGTTGCTGAGTTGTATTCTATTGCATGGCTATGGCACAGCTTATCTTTTCTGTTAATAAACATTTTGGTTATTACAAAAAAAAAAAAAAAAAAGCTGGAGTGACACTGTGGCTCAAGTGGTAGAGTGCTAGCCTTAAGCACAGAGAGTCTCAGGAACAGTGTCCAGGCCCTGAGTTCAAGCCCCAGGCCTGGCTAATTAATTAATTAATTAATAATACTGCTGAACATTCAGGTGTGAATTTTGCGGAGGTAGCTTCCTTGGCATCCAAGTCCCTTCCACTCATTTTCTGAAATTAGACTTATCCTGTCCTGTTACTGTTAAAAGAACAACATGTAAAATTTACAAGAAAAGCAAACCAAAAGTATAAAGTGGACAGCTGTGGTATGTACATCCCCTCGACGTCACAAGTTCCTTCAGCATGGCCTTTCTAATCCTGCAAGCGGCCTCTTTCTTGCCTGCCGGGGTCCCACCCCAGGCAGGGCCCCCCTGTGACCAGGCAGGACCCTGAAACTCACCAGCGCCAGCACGAGGTCCTGTGCATGGCCAGGCTGCCACCTGCTCCACAGCGAAAAGCAGGAAGCAGACCTCACCAGGCCATTACACTGAATGGGTGGGGTCGCGGGGAGGCCCGGCCGCGGCCCCAGGCTGGGAGCGGCAGGTAAACTGCTGGTCTCCGGTCGCCCTCTCTCCCCGGCCTCGCGCGCGCGGCCCGGCGCACCGCCCGGGTGCACCGCCCCACCACACGCCACACACCCAGCAAACCGCCAACCCAGGATGCCGCTTCCAAACGGGCTCCCAACCACTACACCCGGGGAAGAGGCTCAGAAACAAAAAATAAAGCAACCCTATAAACGACTACAAAACCCTTAGCGCGCGACCCACAGTCCCCCCCGCACGGCCCACTCACCAACCACGCGTGCGCGACTGAGAGCCCGGCGAGCAAGCCGCTGGGGGGCGGGGCCTAGGCATGGCCCGCGCAAGCGCGGATGAAGGCGGGCCAAGCGGGCCGCCTCCTACTCTGGAGTCCTTGAGACTTCTCCACCAGGTAATACTGCTCGCGGTGGAGGGAAAAAATCAAAAGGTTTTTAATTGGATCCGAGTAAAGATCCAATTATTTTGTACCAAGAGATACATTTACACAGGTCTTTGTCTGATCAGACTCAAATATTAAGTTGAAGCTTCACGTAGACTAGTTTAGGGAAATACCTGTCAAGCTGAGTATTGGGGAGCCTTCAGTGAGGAGGGCCCCTAAATATACAGCTTCGCCAACTATCTCGTTTAGCATTGTTAACCGACTCGTCACCACTGCCCTTAACACATCATTAGTGATAGATCGTTTTCCACTCTCCACTTCCTTTTACAAGTTTCATGATCTTCCTGAATTGTATGTATTCTGCAGAGCAGTTTAAACCCTAATGTAAACAAATTCTTCAGCTCCAAATGAGACGATTCGAGAAGTTTTGTAATTAGATGTACCATAATTTCTATTTTAAGTAGTTCTTTGAATTGATGACAAGACTATTAAACCAAACATTTCAAAACCTGGTATAACTTGGGTTAAGCAGGAAAGAAAATACACTAAATAAATCAACTCAATTGACACAAATCAAAAACAACCAAAGTTAAGGTTATGTATTTTTTCAGTGTTCTCCATATGTAACAGACTGCCTTGGCTTGTAATTTACCAGGAAAGTTTATTATGCTACAACAATTCTTTATTTGGGGGTGGGGGTGTTCAGAAACACCAGATCCTTTTGAGCTTTCCAAGCTCCACTGCCTTATGTAAAACAATAGTTACCTTTGCACAATATGTTTTACCATGTGCTAGTTTTACAATTAGAATGAACACAGACATCAATTCAGATCTTTATACCTCCACTAGTAGTTGCTAACTGTTCAGAAACATGTAATACATGACTGATATTTTCCCAGGGAAATCTATGCACTATGGATTAGCTTTCATAAACTATAAAAACTTGTGACATTTCAAACATTTGAAGACCTTGTGTTATATTTAAATTGTGAGGGTAGAGCGCCAGTGACTCATGCCTGTAATCATAGCTACTCGAGGCTGAGGCTCACAGTTCCAGGCAGGTAAATCCTTGTGAGACTATTTCCAATTAACCACAAAAAACTGGAAGTGGACTTGTGGTTTAATTGGTATAGCACAAGCCTTGAGCAAACAATTGAGGGACATTGCCCAGACCTTTCAATCCCGAAGACTGCAAATGCACATGTACACACACATGTACACACTCCCAGAGACACAAAATTTCTTTTTTCTACCCTTACAGTAGAATCAAATCTCAAATACACTAAGAAACATTATATATTAATGGCCAAAGTAAAATCAGGTTAAATATTTTCAAAAGGTATTCTCTGAAAACAAAAATTAACACTTTGATGCTGGGTGCCTATGACTCACACCTGTAGGATCATAGGTCAGAGCTAGCCCAGGCAGGAGAGTCCAGAAAATTCTTCTCCAATTAGTCACCAAAACACTGGATGGTAGTGGAGCTGTTGATCAAATGTTGAGTGCTAGCCTAGCATGGATGAAGTCAAGTTTGATTGCTCAGGATGACATAACAGCAAAGGCTGGAAGTAGCACTGTGGCTCAAGTGGGTAGAGTGCTAGCCTTGAGCAAAAGCAGCTCTGGGACAGGGCCCAGGCCCTGAGTCCAAGCCCTAAGACTGACAAAACAACAAGCAAAACAAAACAAAACAATGGTCAATGGCCAGGCTCCAAAGTTCAAGTCCAAGTACCAGCATTAAAAAAAAAAAAGTGGCACTGTGGCTCAGTGAGAGTGCTAGCTTTGAGCAAAGGCTCAGGGACAGTACCCAGGCTCTAAGTTCAAGTCCCAGGACTTGCAAAAAAAAAAAAAAAAAATGCTCCATGTGTATAAAATTTAAAATGAAGCAAAGAGCCAAGCACAATGTATCATGCCTGTACCCCCAAGTTCCAGGCCAGCTGGGGCAAAAGTATGAGGTGCCAGTCTTAAAAAGGCTGAATATGCTTGCACCTGTCCACCTAGCTCCAGCCAAGTGTAAAATAGGAAAATCGTGGTCCAGGTCCAGGTATATGCAAAGCAACAACCAAGACCCTCTCAAAAGAACCAGTGTAAAAAGGGCTGGAGGTTAGGGTTGGGTATGTAGCTCAGTGGTAGAATGCTTACCTAGCATGATGAAACCCTGGGTTTGATTCCTCAATACCACATAAACGGAAAAGGCCAGAAGTGGTGCTATGGCTCAAGAGGTAGAGTGCTAACCTTGAGCAAAAGCAGCTCAGGGACAGTGCCCAGGCTCTGAGTTCAAGCCCCAGGAGAGGCCAAAAAAGGGCTGAAGGTATAACTCAACGGTACAGCACCTGCCTAGCAATCTTGGGACCCTAAGTTCAAACTCCAGATTGCCAAAAATAAATGAAAGTTAAATAAGGTAGCACAAAGGATGTAAGTTTGTATAGTACACAACACAACAGACAAGGTAATAATCACTTTTTTTGGGGGGGGGGAGGGGGTCCGGTCGTGGGGCCTGAACTCTTGGCCTGGGCACTGTCCCTCAGCTCTTCAGCTCAAGGCTAATGCTCTACCACTTGAGCCACAGTGCCACTTCTGGCTTTTTTCTTTTTGCTTATGTGGTGCTGAGGAATTGAACCCAGGGCCTCATGCATGCAAGGCAAGCGCTCTACCACTGAGCCACCTTCCCAGCCCAATCACTTTCCCTGAAAGGTCAAATAGCATTACTCAACCTACTCAATAATCTAGTGACTTCATTCTGAAGCTGTTTCTAAAATGGTAGGCTGAGATGACAAAGCATGTGAACAAATATTTTCTTTCTCAATAATGGGTATTTTATGAAGGCTTTGAGGGTTTTCCCAGAAGGAAATTTTGATTTCATTTGTACAGGTGTGTTTCATTAGAATTTCCCGTCCTAGAATAGGAAATGTATTAGCACCATTTCAGTTAGTCTAGCTAAGTACCCATGAACAAATCACACATGGTCAAAACAAAAATGTAACAAAAACATTTAGTGAAGACATTTAACTCGCATTTATGGATTTTTCAAATACAAATAAATTTTTTATCAATATGATATTCAGCTTAGAACTGGCTCAACACATGGCCTTGATTTCCTGAAATCATATTGTAGCATCTTTTGAAAAATACACTCATCCTTGATCTCAAAAAAAAAAAAAGCTGAAGTCTTAGTGTAAGTTTAAAATTTTAATATTTATAAATTTAAAAAATTTTTTACATGTGCTAAGTGATAGCAGTACTGACATTTTGTGACCATTAAACTACAAACTCAAACTCACTGCATAGTTTCTTTGTACAGAGAGTAAAATCACAATATCAATATTTGCAATTTGCCATTGTTACGTTTGTTGTTGCAATTTTGTGGTAAAAGACACCACACCAGGAAACCTGGGCTCAGAGTACACCTGAGATCAGATCTCCTAGAAGGCAGATCAGGCAGAGGTGGTATTTTAATTTCAGGTGAGGAAAATTTCACTGCTAGTACATACCTGATAGCTCCTAATGGCTAGAGGTCCAAGGATGCACACAGAAAAAAAGAAATCCTAACATCCCCACTTCTGGAAATGCCTGGGGAGAGGAGAACAACAAGCCAAGGGGCTTGGGGAGGCAGCTAGTTCATGCTGTGAGCATAACAGGTGTAACTTTTGAGCCCTATCTCCCCATCTGAACTAAGAATCACCACCAAAGCTGACTTATACTCATTCCAGTATTTCTAGAGACAATCACAGAGCTACTGGCCAGTAACAGTTACTTTATCTTCTTCAGGGAAGCAGAATGGAAGTCCCACTATTTAAGCTTCTACCTTTACTGAACCAAATGTACCTTTGGTTACATATGTGATGGGTTCCCATTATCATCCATCAGACACACATCAGTTTTCTTACATCTAAATTAAAATGTGTGACCAGGGCACTTTGAAACAATTTGAGTTTAGCAAATGTCTAATTTGGGCATTTTTCCACTGTAGAAAAAGCAAGTTAGAGAATATCCACTTACATTTAAAATAATTTAAAATTGTATTTTATCTTCAAATCATCTATGTGTTGTGTAGGAAAACTTACAGAAAATTAGTGTTTAAACCTCATAACCAAATCAGTTTCTTATTATTCTCTTGTTAAAAAAAATAGTAATAATTCTTTACAACCTCTTAAGTAGAACTGAGGTTCCTTCTGACTTGAAAAGTTAATATTTTATTCAGGAACCAATAAGATAATTACCAATGCTGATCTAAGTCAGCTAACAGAGTAAGGTTCAAAGACCACCACCACTAACAACAGAGGTGGCAGGACAAACTACAAGTGTAACAGATAAAAGAAATACTGACCAATTTTTTTTTTCTCAACTAAGTACTAATAGAAACAGAACATGGTGATGTTAGAACCATAAATACTTATCATTTTTGGCAGAAGAAAAGGTTTAATCAAAAAAAGTAAAGGAATTGTCAAGTAATGTTGATTGGAGGATACTGGAATAACTAGATAGTTTACAATAAGACTGAATTTGTCGAATTAGTTTGAAAGAAAAATGCAAAGATTGTTTACATAAAATGTCACTTTATACCCAATTGAAACTCAATGCAGAC